CATACTGCTTACTTGTGTTTCAATATTTTGTTCGCGAGCACTTCTCTTTGCGAGCAGTTCGCAAACAATTCGTGAACGAAGTGAGAACAGTTCGCGAACGAGGTGAGAACAGTTCGCGATCAAAGTGCGAACAAAACACGTTCGCGATTCGCGAACTGCTCGCGCAAATTTCGCGACCAAGGTACATGTGATTCCAGGCGGTACTGTAGACATCCTGAAACAAAGGCGGATACAGGGGGATGTAGGAGATGACTACAGTCCCCCTTCTTCTGGACAGAAAAACATATGGTGAAACTTTAAGGATTTTAATTAAGTTTTAGGTTTGTAAAAGATGAAGCTCATTTAGCAACTCAAATTTTAGCTGGATCCACCCTTGTGAAAGGTACCAGATCGCTGATTCTACCACGAAACAACGGAAGAGGTATTTACATCCCTACTCGGTCAATCTCATTCCCAGGGACTTTTAACTTCGTTCGGGGTTGGTCGGGAAGGACCTGGTGACTGAAGGTCTCCTCCATCGTTATATTATTTGTTCTTTGCTGATTTGGTCATCGGTACTGGGATACTCATACAATATCAGTCAAATCAAGAACACTAACCTAAAGTATGAGTAAGYGGTAATAGCGTTTTTCTTCGGCATCAGAAAAAGGGACACTATCCTACGGCTGTAACCATCACTGAAAGCTATGAATGTGCAACCATATTTTTGAAGTTTTTCGTTKTGATCGCAATGAAGCTTTTGACCGTGATAAAGGGCTGTGTAAGGCGTTGGATTGCTTCTTCTAACAGCATCTGCACCTCRCTTGCGATTGCTGTCTGGATTGACTCTCCTCAATGATTCTCTAGTTTGGTTTTTCGTCAAAGAATGACCCTTACTAGACACATATCCAAACATCATTHTTCTTCCATAGGTTGGCCCTACCTACATGAAAAAATCACTCTCGATTCAGTTTAAAAGCGTTTGAGTTTACATTGAAGAAAAAAGGAACGCAACTTCAACAGAGTACTTGTTCACATCCGTTCAACAGCCTGTTTTTTCAACAGTGAAGTTCAAGCGCCTGCGCAGTTTTCGCAATAGTGGCTATAAAACTTGTTTTAACAAAGTTGAACGAATATTGAAAGAAGTGTTAAAAACGTTTTCACACGGCTCATATTTGATGATGGTCTGGTGGGCTAATAAATATTTCACATGTTTTTTCCTATGGTATTTGGAAATCCGCTGGACTTTCATCGCAGGCAACAAGATGGCGATTGATTTGAGAAGTCTTTGGCATACAAATGCAGTATTCTAATAGAATATAGTATATGTACAAGGAATAGACATAATTATGTAGTATTCTATATAGACAACCTATATAGGTGTTTGTTTAAATAAAACCTTTTAAATTATTTTATATTRAATGTAGCTGAATGACCCCCCAAAAATGGCAAAGTTTGCATTGAGTTTGGGTCGCATTCAGATAGGTTTAAGTGCYCATCGGTATTGTAAGAAACGTACTACAACCAGTTCGAGCTCGTTCTTTAACAAATGTAAAATGGCAATTGAGAACGACAAGGTTTTTTT